TCGAGCCGTCCCATGTTCAACGTATAGAATAGTTCATGATGCTATACAAGTACCCGTAGTTATCACTGTATTACCTCGCCACTTATTTCGTTCTTTTCAAAGAATATTTTTCCACCCGTTTCACTCTCCCGGATGTTTCGTCGTCCAGTATGGTCCACTCAGGGCTTCGACTCAGGGCTTCGACCACCCGGGACAACTGGGTGCGGCTATATGATGCTATCGGTTCTTGTCACAAAATTGAAAGTATGAGTGATTTTGGGCGGAATCGACAAGAACACCAGAACCTGCATCATCCAAGCAAACTCTTACGAGCACGAGTACGAGCGCGAGTACGAGTGCGAGTACGTCCCGCTAACCCACCTCACTGGGAGACAGGGGATGCGGTGGCACCGGTATCATATATCAGGAAGTTAGGTAGAGACAGAAGACTGGAGACTTCACCAAACGGTTTTTCATCTCCAGAACTGCTTACCACGTCGACAGTTAACCATACTTCCCCCCCCCCATACAGTGAAATCCCAACAAACTGTGATACCACGCACCCCCACATAACGCGCGGCTGGTAGCCCACCAGCGCCCATTTCCAAAAACCCACAATGATTCATATATCTCAACTATAGTACACCCCAGCTACTCGAGTAATCTGGACCGATTTGTTATAAGTTTATGCGCACGAGGCCCTGTGGTGATTGAAAACCCAGTTTTCGGCTCGGTTTGTTGGGATCCTGACTTCCGCCAATAGAATGCGAGTGCGACATCGTGATGCTAGGTCAGCAGTCAAATTGGCGTTGATCATGACTTGAGGCACGTGATTCCAGAATGCTGCCGCCTAACCTCCCCTAGACTAACCCCCGAACCCAGCCTCTCCCGCCGCAAATCCTCGAACCAGACACAAATTCCCTCCTGGGACGAAATTGTCAACTGGCGGCTCTTTTTAGCCCGCCACTCTCATCAACCATGTGTGCCGTGACGGGGCCCACCGGGCATTGCATGGGAACGCTCCATTCCCCCGCAAAACGCGGGGATAAGGCTACGGTTTCGAGGGTTTTAGCCCAAGGAAAACTTCAACCTGATACAATAGGGGAATGTTCAAGGAGGCGGCAGAGACGGGAGATGAATGGCTTCCCTCGCACTACCAGAAAGCGGGGACCAATCTAGATGCTCTGGCCTGCAATGGCCTGGGGCCTCCAGCTACTCGAGTAGATACGGGCGTCTTGGGACGGTGGTATTGTTGGTGGATTGTTCCGGGGTCGGCATCGGTGCGGAGCATCGGAAGCAAAGGATGATATCATACTCAACCAACACCATACCAAAAAGCGAATAACTTAGCGTTTAAGTTCTTAGCCGTCGATTGGCATGTTGTCTAAGAAGCACCAAGGCTTAGTAGCGGTAGTGAACTACCGGTACTGTAGAATAGAGAAGACCAAAGTGCAAAACACGAGTGATAAAACGTGAATTGAATTATGTAACCCTACACATAGCCTAGAGAGACCTAGACATCAGGACTGAACCAGCTGCGTAACACTCGTCTGCCATCCGATTCCATCACCACCGCAACCATCATCAAACTCTATCCACAATAATCTCCACCCTTCAAATTCCGTCTCAAAGTCGAATCAGAGAATAGCCATGGCCGACAAAGAGCTAAAAGCCCTCCATCAGGGCCTTATTAACACCGTCAACAAAGGTGACTACGCTTCTGCCTCCAGAGGCCTATCGAGCCTCAAGATTGCTCTCCTCCAACGCAACGCTCTAATTCCATCCCCAACAACACCACTGGCAACTCTCCTGCACGCCCGCGATATCCTGGAAATTGGTGCGCTCACAAGCATACATCAAACCGACGACGCGGCGTTCAGTAGATACTACTCGCAGCTCCAACCCTTCTACGAGGATCCCCGACTATCTACTCCAAAGACAGCCAGCATGAACCGCAGCAAGATTACCGGCCTCCATCTCCTCCTTTTATTAAGCCGCAACGATATCGCGGATTTCCACACTACACTGGAAAACTTAGAGGCTCCGGAGGATGATCCATTTATCAAGCACCCGATCATGTTGGAGAGATGGTTGATGGAGGGCAGCTATGATAAGGTTTGGAATGCGACCAAGAGTTCTCAGGTCCCGTCGGAGGAGTACGCACATTTTTCACAGGTAGGATCTGTTTTGATGGATAGAGGGCGGACAGGGTGCATTGCTGATAGGTGTAGGTCCTTGTTGGTACAATCCGGAATGAAATTGCGAGTTGTTGGGAGAAGGCTTATGCTTCGCTACCAATATCCAATGCAAAGAATTTAATCTTCCTTGATTCTGAGGGAGCTGTTATTCAGTTTGCAAAGGAGGTAGGATTGTCGCTCATTCTCGGCGATTGGGGCCGGAGCTAATAGCTGTTGCAGAAACGTTGGGAGGTTAAGGATGGACGGGTCTACTTTCCCGTAGAAGAGACCGAAAAGGAGGCGCTCGCGAGCGGGACTATCATCGAGAACTCTATCGGGTACGCTCACGAGCTTGAAACAATTGTGTAACGGCATCTTTACCTTGGAGTTGCGTTGTGTAATTCTATTCATAAACGACATCAGGGAGGTGGTAAAAATGAGCATTACGATACCTCCTATAGAGACCAGATACATAGTCGTTTGTCATAAAAGCTACATGAGATAATTGTGTTTGGCCTCGTCCCGTGCACATGGCTCCCGTAATTCATGCTTTCGTGCTCCTCAAACTTCCCAACAATGCTCGGCTTGCTCTCGTCTCGCACAGAGACAGCTCTGGCGCCAGCATGCATACAACTTGCTAACACGGAGTCCTCACTGCGCATTTGGAGCCTCCAGACCCCGCCACTCAAATTAGTATCACTTTTAACCCTCCTCGTCCTTGCATCGAAGATCCTGAACCGTTCATCGTACGAACCGGTCAAGAAAGTCCCGTCGCCTCTATCCAGTATGGCTGTGACACCAGCCTGATGTGTTTTCCTATCCCTCCATAACTGCGTCCCAGTCTCCAAGTTATACAAACATATTGCTGAATCATCCCCACCGGAATACAACCCCTCCCCATCAGTTGTGAATTCGCACGTCCATGCCTCGAGTTCGTGCGGTGAGAATTGGTATGTGATTTCTTTGGATTCAAGTGAAAAGATGCCCACTTCACCATTAGATAAAGTAAAAGCTAGGCACTGTGCTGTAGGAGAAAAGTTAACGGATAGGAGTAGAATGGATGCATCGAAGAGGATGTGATGAGCAGATAGGGTTATGGTGCCGTTGGAGATGTAGTAGAATGACAGTGTTCCATTAGATTGAGCGACAGCTAGAACTTCTGGTGAATGCGGCGAGAATTTTATGTCTAGAATTGCATGTGTTTGTTGAGATGCCACAAGGTTTCTAGGCTACTTTATCAGTAGGAAGGAAAGTGAGGAGATAGGGGTAAGCATTACAGTTGTCCATCCTGATCCATTCGATAGAGCAACAAACTCCCGGTTTTCTTTGCCTCAATTGACCCAGCATCTTCATTAAGGAGATAGGTCCCAACGACAACACACCTCTCATCCTGGGGGACAAACAACACACACGAAGGGGGCAGAGAAGTAAAGGTTGTGAATAAACTCTTGATTGACGACATCAGGGAAGTTTCAATTGGCGGGGGGTGGGGCTTGGCGGTGAGTGAGTGGGGGAAAGAAAGGGGATCGCCTTGAGGCTCAAGGATTAAGTGAAGCGAGCCAAAAACTGGCAAACAAGTTAACTCGCATTTACGAGTACCCGTGATTGTATCACGCCCCAACCATTCGCCCGCTTCCCTTCTCGTTTTGTCCATCAATCAGTCATGAATTTCATAGCCCCCTTAACGAACGTGTTCCGCTACACCGCGCCCCGCATAGCTATTCCCCGAGGCGTGGGAAAGCTGAGTACAAGTACATTACCTTGGACCCCCACTGTCCTGAATATTGCTGACAGGTTCAGAGGGACCAGGGTGCGCTGGCTCGTTTTCCACCAGCTCCCGAGCCTGGTCCGAGAAGGTTGCAACTGAGGGTGAGACAGAGAGGCTTGCCGATGAGGTTGAGGGCGAGAATTTGATTTGTTGGCAGGTATCACTCTCTTCAGAACCCCCTTTTGGGAACAACTGCAACTTATATTTCGCAGGATGGTGAAGACGTGGAGGATTTCTTGACCAGGTGTGCGCCGTCGAGAATGAACGGCAAGTCGCGGATAGCTATCAAAAATCCTTGGGACATTGAGCGCTCTGAAGGGAATGTCGAGTCTGCTCTCAAGATGCTTGAAACGCCGCTCCTGGAGGCTATCAGTGACTGGAATACCATTGTGGCTGATGACACCCTTAACAAGGTGATATTTACCGTTACCTTTCCTCTTGTTGACCGACTAATCCGATGCTTCCTGGCGGTAGTCGGCCAAATCTCTCAAAAAAATCGAACATCGTGAAAATTTGAAGGATTTGATACTCACGACAGCAGCTCAAAACGAGGTTGTCAGTGGGAAGGTTCGTTCTTCTATCCTGTTGATGGTTCTGAAAGCTTTCTAATTGGTTGGCAGTGGATCATACATGCAGGGTCAAATACAGTCGATTTTCAATGGTCTAGAATTGCTACCGGGACTTACGACGGGTTGTTGGGCACCAAAGCAGAGGTTTTGGGAAACAATGGAATGGGGATCCAAGTTATATTTGTTTTCACCCCAGACTTTAGGGATCTGAAAGATGTAAAAAGAGGTGAGTTTGTGGGCTTTTTTGTTGGATAACTCAGTGCCTGTGTGACTAACGTGAAAAGTTCTTGATGGGGTTCAGAAAGCTCTCCAATGGAAGCCTAGGTCTATTGCCTATAAGCCATGTGAGAAGCTCCCTGAGTGATCAACTTTAAGTTGCTAATTCGGAATTAGTGATATACTCTCTTCTAAAAATAACTACTGAGAACCCCTACCATCTAAGGCCGGCGATATTCACTTCAAGGGAACTTGAGGAAACAGAGACCGAGGAATAGAGGCATAAAATAGTGGCGGTAGTAGAGATTCGCTGGGTGAATTGATCAATAATCGGGGTGCTTATGTGTACTTTTAACGTTACTCTGAGTTCAGCGGGATATCAGATAGCTTGAAGGCCTCGTCAGCTCTTAAGTTTGATATGTACTGAATTTGTGTTGAGCTCTCATTCAAGAGACATGTTCTCAGCCATCTCATCTTCCACCCTCGCGTCACGCTCATATTGAATTTATTTCCGCTCATTGCCGGCACAGCCTTCATCTACCGATATGCCTCCAAAGAAAGAAAAGAAAGAGCAGGTCACTGGCGATCAAGGTCATCTTCTCCCTTCCCCGTAACCACGTCAAAGAGGAACCAATCACCCCATTGTTACACTACTGACAGTAGACGTTGTGGCAGCCAGCAGCCTCGTGCTCGAATATCTTCGCCAACAAAACCGGCCCTATTCCGCTATTGGTGGGTGCTGTATTAGTTAAGAGTTGCATTTACATAAAGAAGACTGATCATTTGTCTCTCTAGAAATCAGTGCGAACCTTCATAATGCTGTTACCAAACGTTCGTTGCCACCCCCCCCCCTCTCTTAAGATGGGGCAAAGCAGACATGTGCATACGGATTCTCAGAGCTAATTCGATTTACCGATTAATAGCCGCTGCTACAAAGATTCTCAAGGAGCTGGATGAGAGGGGAGAGATTGAGGGGAGAGCTTCAGGGAAGCAAGTTGTCTATCATATCATTCAGGTCCGCCCACCAGTCCCGAACCTGGAGATCACTGACGATCTAACGATTATCGGCTTGAAGGATCCGAAGGACCTTGCAAGCCCTGAAGAGCTCAAGGTCATGGACATGGAAACTGAGGGTATGAAATATTTAATTTTACCTGTTTGAGTATTTTGGTTGGCTAATGTGCGAGCCACGCCAGCTGTCAAACAAGAAATCGGGGGTCTGAAGGCTGAGCTTAGAGCTCTCCAGTCCACCCTGAATACACTCAAAGCTGCTCCGACCACTGCTTCTCTACTTGAGACTGTTGCCTTGCTTGAGGCCGAAATCCGAAACTCTCAAGTCCGGTTGGAACCACTTCGCTCAAGTGCTGTTAAGCCCGTTTCCGCGGAGGAGAAGGCTACTATTTCCGCCGAACACACCAGGCTTCAGAAGATACTCAAAGAGAGGAAGAAGCAGTTCAAGGAGTTCTGGGACGCCATCTGTGATGGCTGCGTCGACATCAATCCTAGTGACCTATGGGTAAGTGATCACGCTGCCCCTCTTTTCTTTTGGGCAGGCTTGTTATCCCCCTTGTTGAACTTGTTCTTCTCGGCCTCTAAATGCTGTAAGGCATCATATCCATCTGGCCTCTCTCTCCCTCTCCCTCTCTTTTTTTTTTCGTCAAAATATCTTGATATTTTTGGACCTGTCGATATTGTTCGGAGCTGCAGACAGGAGGTGACCTTGTGTGAGTCATTGGTCTGCAGTTGATGAGAGTGTGTATGCCATGAATTCTTTTTTTTTTTTGCTACTCAGTCTCCCAGAAGAATGTTCCACCTTCCCTAGACATGTCATGTTCATCCTACTCAATTGGGAAGATTCAGTTTGAACTTGGGATGATTCTTTCCTTGTCGCACGGCTATGATCTTCTGTTGCGGGAGCACTTCAGTACGAGTACCTGCACGCTTGCACATACAGAGACTAATCCTGGGCTTTTTTTTTACTAAAAGGAGCGCTTGGGGTTGGAAGAAGATCCTTGAAGATGTATAAAACGCCATGAACAAAATCGCGGAGGCTTAAACCGACTATAGAAAGGTTCGGTTCGATTCGTATGATATGTAATACAGTATTGTTGGAATCTTATTTCGTCAACGACTGCTTGTGTCATGACAAGAACGGTATGGGCAAATTAAATGTCTTTGGGCAAGAAGGAAAAGAATATAAAAAAAGTGGTAGACCTAGGTAGGGTAGGGTGCGGTAGATGCGAAGGGATTCAAAAGTGGTACTTTTTGTGGCACGGGGAGGAAGCATCCGAAACATGGGGAAGTTGGTGGTCGCGGGGGTTGGTGGTCCAATGGCTCGCGGGTGGTACTAGTACTCAAGCGGAAGTGATGGGTGAGGACCGCATTTGCTTTTTCCCTCTGCTGCATCTGGCGGGTTACCGTAGCGATGTTCCATTATCAAGCCCCGTTTATGTCCGCTCCCGCACATGGAACATTGATTACAGAGAGGGGTCAGCTGAACACGAGGTGCGAGGACATATATGCATATCGATGTCCGCGTAGCTGTGGGCCGCGAAGAGGGGGACTTCAGATGACAAGGGATTTTTTGTTCGTGCTAAGACTCCCATAAAAGTAGTCTAAGTTGATAATCATCATAGCAACGAAGCAGTGGACTACCGGTATGGAACCTGTTCTTCTCACCTTCTCGCACCGTATCCGCCGGTAATAACAGTAGTGTACTGTACTCGTACTTGTAACGTTGTTTTCTTTCTTCAGAATATGAGACCACGGTTATACGATAGTGGTAATGCAGGCAGCTGTACGAGTAGAGTACTAGTACTTTTTCCCCACCCTGATAGTACTTGTAGTGATACTGTAATGGGACTAAGTTTCAGACGACCAAATATGGACCTGCCGTCTTCTCTATCTGGCATCATCTCCAGAACTGGAGCTCAATATTTGGGGGGTTGGCGCGGCAATATACAAAGGTACCGGTACAAGGGGTAATATTTGGGTTCCATAATAATAATAATAATAATAATAATAATTTTATTATACTGTACTTGTAATAATTAAGTTTGGTTTAAAACAGTGTGGATTCAGATTCATGCTCACCATATTCGAATGCTCGCCAAACGCACTGGAACATGAGTAGAGAAATATACACTTTACTTGCACAGTACTAGTACATACAGTGCCTGATAGGGATGTGTGATTGGGAAGGGGAAGTTTCGCCGGTCCCTATGACCCCGCAATATAAGTACTTGTAGGATTGGAAGACACGCTAGCAACGCGTTCAACACCCTTAGCGACGAATAATCATCTGCTGCACTTTTCATGTCGTCTGGGTGAGGTGGGGAGGTGAGAGGTGGGAGGGGGCTTGGTTGGCAGACAGACTAATGCGGCATGCCATGGTCATCTCGGCCTTTCGACGGAATGGTCATCTGTATGATCCCGATGTGCGGTACTCGTATGTGCTCTTTGGGGAGATGGAGAAAAAAGAAAAGGGGAGGACAGAAAAGAAAAGAAAAGAAAAAAGAATAAAAAATTAAATGAGATGAGATGAAGTTCAGACGAAAGCTGTATCCCCACGTTCAGAAGGTTTGTTCCGGAAATTCCATCCCTGAGACGGCGGTATGGAACTTTCTGCCAACCCATTAGGTTTTTTGTCCCATTTTCTTTCTGCTTGTTCACTCCTCTATGAAGCACCGTAGCTCTCTCTATTGTGCTGTGGGGGACCTTTATTTTTTCTATCTATCGTGAGCTTGTGATGTTTGACATCCTTGCTGCGCTGGCACTTTGGTAAAACTTGCCGGGTCCCGTATCTGCGGGTTTTGTGAAATCCAAGTTATGGTCGATCTATGGTTCCTTGGAGCCAGAAACCTGTGCTTCCGTGACGGGTTTGTCCTATGATGTCGAAGATCTAAGAAGCATCTAGCGTTTGACATGTTTCCATATTGACCGTCACCGTGGAGTTGGACGTCCCTGCTGGCGCCCTTGTTAAGCAGAAGAACAGCTGTTTACTTTTCCAAATGGAGTATGATGCTCGAGTGAACCAGCCTCTTGGTCCGACCTATTGGAGTGTCAGCCGACGAAACGAACTGCAGTATTCATTGGGAACTTCTACTGAGGGGATCTTGGCCGTTTGGTCGTAATTCTCCTACTGGTGCTTTGGTCCCAGGATGGATATTTGGCGAACCTCTTTTCCTCTCTTCTCTTCTCTTCCTCCTTCTTTCTCATTCTTGTCCTCTTCTCCCCAATAACTATTGATTTTACCCCCCCCTCCCCCTTTTCTGACGAGTTCAACTAAGCCACCGCCAGAAAGAGACGCCTTGCGAAAGCTGTCTGGTGCTCGTGAGGTGTTTGTGAGTGTGTCTAAGACCTATCATCTCTTAAGTTAGTCCTCTTGGTCATCCGCACAATAAAACCTCGCTCTACTACCTACCAGCTCTTTCTTGAACTTTCTCTTTCTTGATCCCTCTGTCATTCCGCATAGTAATTTTATTGGGGTTCTGTACTTCCATCCTTTTTTATTTTACTTCGTGACTTTCTCTAGCTCCAGACCCCCTCACAGAAAATTTCCCATCACATACAACAGCCATTTATCCAACCTCGCCAGGTTGATGAGGGAATAGCTCGTAAGAGTGTTTCTTCGAGATTTGGGGTTTTTTTTCTCTCTTCCGGTTTGGTCTGGTTGGGGTCGGGAGTTGTCACGATCTGTGCGGCAAGATTTCGGATTGGTTGGTGGTTTCTTACATTACAGTTTTCCCGAGAGAGCCCTGCGCTGTTCCTATTCTGGGGTTTCACCCCTCATCGGATTTCCCCCTCCTCGAACGTTCAGGCTTGGACAGGCCCCTGCCCCACCAATCCTCCGTGCCCTACAGAGAAGACAATTGACTGGTTGTCCATCCGCCCGCCTGTCAGTAGTCAGTTCTGTTCCTGAGCACACATCCTGAGCCCTTCCTACTCGTCCATCGGCTAGCCTTAGTTTTCTCTTGTGCTTCCAGCCAACTGACAAATAGGGAAGAGAAGGGGAGGAAAAAAAAAAAAACCTTTCTCTCTCTTTCTTTCCATCTTTTTTTCCGTGACCCCAAAACCTTAAATCTACCATCTGGAGGTTAAATACGGAAAGATAAAATACACAGTCATAACAGGGAGACATTCTCTTTGACCGATCGTCGAGGGCTATTACAGCCTCCCTCTCTCTCGAATAGAACCGGAACCACCATACCTCACAGCCGGGAACTACACCGCCGATTTGATCCAATCGTAATCCAATGGCTGCGACTCCCTTCGTCCCCCAGGAGCAGCAACCTCAACCCCAACAACAGCCTCTTCTTCCACATCCGAAACCGATGAGTACCCCTCCAGAACAACCCAACATGTACAACTCGGGTAGCAGCAATCCATCCGGATCCAATTCCCAGGGTCATTCTCGTCCTGGTAGTGGTCGGCGAAGTATCTCGGCCTCGCAGCCCCTCTCTGGACAACTACCTCCGACTCAAAATGGTAATGCCGTTGCGGGTACCGCATCGACACCGGTCCCGCAGTCGCACGCTCAGCCTCCTGGCATCCCAATAGGTCCTAACATGCCGACTTTTGACGCTTCAAGAAGCCCTCCTAGCAGCAAAAGTACTGTCCCTGAGTGTTGTCGGTCGTTACAATAAGGTTTCATCATGGCTGACCTTGTGAAATAGACCTGAACCACGTGCCTTGCAAATTTTTCAGGCAAGGGACCTGTCAGGCTGGAAAAGCTTGTCCGTTTTCCCATAGTATGGATCCAACGTCAGATCAAGCGCCCTGCAAATATTTCTCAAAGGTACCGGCCTTTTTTCTTGCCACGAGAGGGGTCACTAATTGGTTTTGACAGGGCAACTGCAAGTTTGGAGTCAAATGTGCACTCGCTCATATCCTTCCGGACGGCCGTCGTATAAATCGCCCAACGTACAGCAGTAGTAGCCATCTCCAGTTCGGGCGCGTAGACACTGGTCTTACAAACCAGAGGTCCGCTCTGCATAATTCTTTACTCCAAGCCAATATGTTGCCTCCCAATGCCCCGAACCATTCATTTAGCAGTCAAGACGACTTCCCCGGTCTTACTAGTCACCCTGGCGGTCCTGACCCAAATCTCACTACGTCAATTTTGGATTCTAGATATGGATCTCCGCGAGATGATGGCACTTTACCGATGTCACCCCTTGCCTCGTCCCAGCGAACTCTTGGACCTCTGGATGCAACACTTCCGGCTTCCTTTGATAGGCATGAGTATTCGAAGTTCGCTAGATTTGGTCCTTATGCATCTTCTGTTCCAAGTAAGTTTGGCATGGAGTCTCCTCCGCCATCATTACCTGGTAATACACGCCCGGCAGCGCTTCAGTCTCTCTACGCGTCTGCATATGGAGGAAATGCAGAGGAGGATAATAATCCAGGCGCGGATTTGTCTCATTCCCCCCGCGCTAATACAGAGGATTCACTGGGTCCTAGAGCAATGCATTCCTCGCGCTCCCTTAGCCGCATGAAAAGTTTATCATCTAGCTACGCCAGATCGGAAAATATGGAGAGGATGTTGGGTGAATTTACCCGTGAGCGGTCGCCGATAGACCCAACCGTTGACGGGAATTTTGCATTTGAGGAGGATTTTGTTCCGAGCAGCCTCCAGGAGCTTCTTACCCCGGCTGAGCGTAACAGGAGGCTTTCCAGGACGGATGAGGAAGGTGTTTCAAACTTCCGTCATAGCCTCACGGCCCCCGGCACACCCGGGGACTCTATGAACGTGATTGGGTCTCCACCTCGCCCTTCCTCTGGATGGGGACCTATTGTGACGAGAAATAAGCGCGATGAGGACCATGCTCCGACATCCGGTGTCGGGCATGTTGGTTCCCCTCTCAGAAACTCCTATCAGCAAGGGGGCGAACCGAGTCCGACTTTTCGCCCGCTCGGCAGGCCGGTTTCCGGGGATGTATCTCCATTCCCTGGATCTCCTAACCGCACAAGCTCCGGTATCTCGGCGCTCACCCAAACACTTCAGCGTGCCCGCCTCTCTTCTGGGAGTGGCCCTTATGGCCCCGGAGAAGCGCCAACCCTATCGAAGGCTCTCGGCTCTAACGGTAAACAAATGGAGCGCGTAATTTCTAACCCCCAGTCTAACAACGGCAAAACTGTTGCTTCCATTGACGAGGAGTCTGACACTCAATTCCCAATGGAAGAAGAGGAATACTCAACCTCTCCTCGCTTAGCCATTAGCTTCGGCAGCCTTGGCGCCATTGGGCGCGGGTCAGGTTTGGGCCTCCGCGTTAGTGAGCAGCAATGGGAGAGCTTTGGCACGGGTACGAAAAAATTTCATTGAACTAATATGACGTAGGTTCGGTGTTTATGAACATTTTCTATTTTTGTGTTTCTTTCCTGTTTTATGGATGTCATTCCTATTTCCCAAAACAAAAAGTAACATTGATTTTTTACATCGTTTATTTTATTCTCTCCTCTACTCCCTCCCTTTCTCGTTCCTTCCTTGTGAGACAGAATTCGAATACCCTGGCATATTTTTCAAAATCCTGGTGAAATGATATATTCCGTGAATGGGGATTATGGTGTCTATTTCAGCCGAGTCGTTTTGCGCGGGAGATTAAGGTCTTTCTCATTTGCTATTACAGAAAAATCGGGGCATTTAAAAATTTTGTGTTTTTCTGGTTGGAGTTATTGCTTGTTTGAATTTTTATGTTTTCTCTATTTCAGCCTGGAACATGTAATTCAGTCTCTTTTGTGCTGATACAACGAGCACTGCCTGCACGATGGATGGTTTAGTAGGGTGGAAGGTAGTGTACTGTACATGCGAGATAGAGAAAAGATTGGGAAATATAAGGGTGCGGGATGGGAAAGCGGAAACAAAGGGAATGGATGGCAGGGGGGGGGGTTACGCTGTTCACGTCTAACCACATTTATATCCTCTTTGTTCACTATATTTCACTTTATATTTTCACCGGTTGGTTAATGCAAGGGTTAGAAAATATTTCCTTTTCTCGGAGTTCCTTATTATGTTCTGTGTAGGGCGCCGGGCGATGGATAGCGGTATAGTGCTGCACTTTATTGTGCGGCAGTGTACTAATACTGCTATTGGCATATTACACAGCAAAATATTGATGTTCATAACGTACGAAGGGTAAAACAGAAAGCGGAAAAAGGAAAAGAGAAAGGAGCGTGCACCCAAAGGAGTAACACAAACAATCTAGCAACATTGAACTGTATGAGGAAAAAGTAAAAGGTCTTTTTTTCTTCTAAATTGCGGCCGAAGGAGAGTGATAGAGGAACTGGGGTATCATTACCCACCCGAGTGATACTATATGAACATCCGTTTCGACAAGTTTATCCGCCAACAGCCTCCTCAACCGGAACCCCAAAACCGGTGGAATCTACGAGTAATTCTGCCAACTAGGCTCCTTCCTGCACTTCATATTTTCCCCGACAAAGGCCGGTTCCAGCAAGCCGTCCATGGTGAGCTCGTTCTTGTAGAAGACACTTAGGATTTCGTGTAGTGGGCGATGGAAGTATTACTGTTATCGAAAAATAATATAACATTATATATATGTTATTGCCTTCTATGAGAATGGGGGGGGGGATTACTTGAGTTTTCGGTTGGCCGGGAAGGGCTTCGCCTTTTGTGGGCGGAATGGATAGGTACCTATTCGCGTTTATACAGGGATCCGATACGCCCGATTGCGGGGTCCTCGGCTACCGAGATGTGTCTGTGTGTGCCGGAGGAGTTGAACGCTGGGTGCATTATCGTTATCATGCTGCGGCGCTGCGGGTTTGTATCTGTGAGTTAGCTAGCGAGTCGGGAGGTGGGGAGGTGGAGGGCGAGGGGAGAGATGCCGGCCGTTGCGCTTGAGTAGGCGGGGGAGATCGACAACGAGATGATGGCGAACGACAAGATAAGAATATTGTACCAACCTAGAACTGTGCTGAGGATTCTCAAAAGGTACTTGGCTGGCCTTGTTGTGAAGGTAGACTAAGGTTTCAAAAGGCAAGATAATTGGATTGACACCTACTTGAAATGTTTGCGACCACTATCTGTTTCATTTGTGATAGATCACCTAATTGTACTCCCCCGGCTCACCTGCCAGACTGTGGTCAAGTCCAGTGATTCCAAGGGTCTCAGAATCGCTGTAGAAACATACTGGACTCTAGTGTCAGGTTGCTCCGAGCATGTATCTCCAGCTGTAGGACAAGAGCATCCATCCTTTGGGAAAGACTACCATCTAAGAGGCTGACGACAGGTCTCTGTAGTCCTCTACAGATTGGTAACTCCCAGACGGTACCTGCAGTGCCTACCTGCTACATGTGGGTCCCGGGGTGGGGTCCGTGAAGCATTAACCTAGGTTGGTCACAAAACATCATTGAGTATGATATACCGAATTGGTGTCAGCATTGTTTGAAGATTTAGGATTAGGACCATGCTGAGTCGCTTTACCATTCTTTCCGATAATTATCCTTGTATTCATGTGTTTTCCAGCTCATCAAACAATCCCACTCCTGTATAGAGGTGAATATACCGACATTCAGACATTGGCCTTGTACACTTTGCAACTAGCAACTTCCCCCTCGAGACCTCGAGGGGAGAGAAAAGTCAAAATAAAAATTGTCTGAGGGGCCCACCGGATTGAAGTTCGCGGTATCATGCCCGGCTGGCTGGCTATATCCTACTATACCCTGTCCTCAATGTGAAACATCGGCAAGCTTATGATATGATACCATACGACAACTTACTCGCCCTCATCCCTCGTACTGTATCATACAGGACAACCCCATGCAACTTACCCCCTCCCCCTCCCGACTCCTTCTCCCCACGCACAGAAAATGACGCCAAAATCACTAAACCCTCTCAAGATTCGGTAACCTCGGAAACCAATTCCGTTTCAGCATTTGTTATGCCTCAATATTTTTCCCCCAACCCTGCCCAGTACCTGTACAGGGGTTGACAAGAAGTCGGGAAGTTCCGGACGAGTGAGGGGTTATGCATTTGTGGTCTTGGAGCTGCTGATATTGTCGGAGGGGAGTTATTGGTGCAGGTGAGATTGAAGGTTGCCCTATGAGTTGATGGTGGTATGATAGATTTAATTGTGGGTTTCGGATCAGGTCAGTACGGGAGGGGAGACTTGAAGTTTTGTTGAAGGGGATAAGGGATTTACATTTCGGGCAGGGTGAAGGGTTGCCACGACTAAGCTTTCCTCTCTCTTTCCCCCACCGCGAACCTCTCAATATGACCTGTCGCCGTCATCATGTATCACTCGTGAAGGCCTTCCAGTGGCACGATGACGATATGTCGGGGTCATCTCGGGCTCAGCAAAATTGGAACGGGGTAAAGATAGCCTTGCATCGGCACGGCACAGTACAATGGTGGGTTTTGGGAAAATAAGGAGTCGACGCTTGACAATTGTATCTATTTTACTCCGGAGGGGGGGGAGTAGGTATGATATATATGCAGCCGCATCCTCGGAAACACTTTGCTAACTTTCTTATCACTCAGTATGGCTAAACAAATTCCGACAGGCTCACAACACCCCTCGAGGGATATCCGAAAAGTTACTGGTAGTCTATCTAAAATGCTCCTGCTGTGTTGGTAGGTGCATGATACAAGGAAGGGTATGAGGAATATACAACGCAGCTGTACCCGTATCTAAACTCGCTTCCTTTCATTATCCGATGCAATAAAATCTCGCAAATATATACCAAACACATCTAGCCTACTCTCCCGTATGTATAAATGACGCCCATACCAGGGGATACCTCCAATCTGCTCCTCTGCATAATACATCGCATAGTTAGCCCTTATTAGGGACACCCTTCTCAAGGGCACCCTTCTCCCCGCTAGAAAGTGCCTCGAGGCAAACCCCAAGAAGCGAGCGCGCAAACTTGACTCTTCGATGGCCAGAGCGTGCACCAGGCCCACTAACTGAATCTCCTCGCGGTGTGTATGGCTTCGCCAGCGTGCGTCTCACTGGATCATGCACCGTCGAGCTAACGGATAAATAGGAAATCTATACGCTCTGGATACAGAGAGCTTGTTCCTTTTGTAGTTCTCACTGAAGAGATCTGAATGGCTGTCCGCGAGGTCTGGAGGGTTGGAAAATCCTGAAATTTCGGCAGGGCTGAGAGGACCTTTTGAGTGCTGGGTCGGTCCATGTGTGTCACTTCGGGGCCCTTCGCGGCTCCCACAATTTCCCTGGCTTCGTCGTAGGTTTTTGGCATTGAACTGTTTCCTGGAGCTCCCTTCATGACTGCGACTGCTATGGGATGTGAGGGGAGATGCCTTGGAGACCGTTCTCCTTGATTTGGATGTAGAATGGAATTGCCCGGCTGATTGATAATGTTATGTGTCCGGTTGGGTGGAGGTGGAGGAATGCCATGCCCGGTGGACCTACTTCTAGCCGCCATACATGTGGTACGTATATCTTTGTGTAACCACATCGGATGTTTGGAGAGCTGCCCGGGCGATTTATAACTGGCTCGGCAGCTGCGTTCCATTACTAGTCGAGATACGGCGGTGTCAAACTAAGGCATGTCCTTTCTCATCCTGGGGCCGCTGGATGTCGGTGGAATCCTTGCTCAGTCGTACCGAACCCCGCAATACAGTATTTGGATAAGATTCCGAGGAACACCATACCCCCCTCGATCCCCCTACCGAGGGGTCTCTGGATACCCTAATTGATTAATCTTCCCTTTCACGGCGCTAGAAATACTGGCAATGATTCTCCTGCGATATGTACGTACTCCGGTAACAATCAAGCCGACTTTAGCCGGGTGTGCCTTCCCCAGCGGTGGCATAGTACCGGTACTCGGGTAACGATGTACAAGATGAGAAGGCGCAATATCGCGGACCCCGCGCAGCGATTATCCGACAAGCCTTGCAAAAGTTCCGGTTGTTCTTCAGTCAATGATATTGCTCGCTCAAGGCCACACGATTCCCCTTCCAACTGGCAGAGAAATAGCAGCTTCTATGAAACTTCGATCAAAGTGAATAGTCGACGGTGGATGTTTTCGGCCGAAATCTCTAACACGGAGGATTCCCCCCCACATATCGATTGCATGGTGAAGGCCCTCCGGGATTTCCTTGAGCATCATTCTGCTAAAGCGGCTGCTTATGGATCCGGGTCCTGTGACTATTGACGCCATGTCCTCGTGGACCCTTTCACAAAGTTTTCGGGTGCCCCTGGTTCTAGTTTCTTGCTTCAGTTCGTTGAAGTATATGCATGGTATTATTGCAGGGTCTCTTGGTACCCCGCTAGGCGGTAGGCCCAGAGGTGTTCGCGAAGAAGATCCACACTGATCTGAGTTGTTCCTTCGCTGGTGCCTATGAGCGAAAAACAAACAGGGAGGGGCTGGGAAGGCTGGCGAACACCCAAATGGAAGTTATGATACGTACTTATTGCATGAAATGAAGACATTTGTAATGAAGTGGGGGGTGCTAAAATATCCCAGTTGAGCTCGGGCCGCCATCACTGGTCATCACTCGTGAAGGGGCTTAGGGCTTGGACTAATCCACTCTTGAAGACTCGTTTTGTGTCAACTATGATACCGGTAGTTGAACGAAAGCCCCCTCCCCTTGGGGTAGCCTTAGATACTGCGGCGTGCTTTCTTTCTTTCCTGTGTTTTTATTGATGGGTCTTAATGATATGACCACTAGTCTAACCCCTCAAGAAAAATTGAAGCGACTTTACCCACCAGAAGAAGCGCGCAGTGCTGAACATGCTACGCCCTTCTACGGCACTAGCTCGCCTCATGGGCCAGAATATGCACCGCCTAGTATGCAAGGGATACATAATTCTCCCCCCCCCTTCGAAATCAATGTTTCCGGATCTTTAGGCTACCTTTTTCAGTTCCCTCTTTGGCGTTGTAAAGATGGCTGTAAGGTTTAAAACCCACTCTATCTCTACAACTTTGCCTCAGGATAATATTGTTATGAGCGCCTTGATTTCATGAAACCCTTGCTCCTAGAGGGCAGTGATGTCTATCTTGGAAGCCATATACTGTAAATGTACTATTATTATTTCTTTATGAGGACGTTTCATATTATTTAGCTTGGGTTCGAATTTGTTCAAGTTATGATACCGTCATCGTTTGTACTTATATGATACGTATGTGGATACTGGCGTCATGTCCGTCATCACCCATCGTAACAAGCCTTCCCTCCATCCTCGAGAAGAAGACAAAATATATATTCGATTTCTGTCCTTTCTCTAATTCCAGG